ACCCTAACCCTAACCCTAACCCTAACCCTAACCCTAACCCTAACCCTAACCCTAACCCTAACCCTAACCCTAACCCTAACCCTAACCCTAACCCTAACCCTAACCCTAACCCTAACCCTAACCCTAACCCTAACCCTAACCCTAACCCTATAAAACTTACTTATAATAAATATTTTATAGCTTTTTATTCTTTAGCGTGCACAGTGCACATTTAAATTCTATAAAGTTTATAGAGCTTAGTTATTAAAGACAGGCCTTTCTATTACAGTACTTTATAAATGCGTTTTCCTTTTCACATAACTAGTTCCTGGTTGCCTACTCCTGTTTGTGTGTGCCCCGCACCTCTATCGCACTTATTCTTACTGTAGCGTTCTTTTCCAAGAGGCCTCACAGTGTTCTCAGATTCTATCTTCTTGTCTTTTGGTCAATCAGGTTTTTGTCAGGATACTCTCAGATGGACCCGAACACAACTGCAATGACGGCACCGCCTGGGCAGGTGTCCAATCTTCTTCGCGTCGAATCTCGTCCTATCGACCTACACCTCCCTGAACATCATCTTTCTAAGACCGACTACCCCGGCCAAACTCATCACGACCCCGTAACCCAAAGCATTGGACGCCAGAACCATACACACAATACTGAAAACTGCCATACACAGTTGATGATGCTTATGCGTGCTGTCAAATCACCAATAACAAGCGGCACAGTGCGTCTCCCTCTTGCGGCGTCGTCGGGTTGGTTCTCCATGTTCTGGGCATGAGTTTGCAGAACAAGACCAAGATGAGAAGAGCAAACCAGGGGTGCAAGAGGGCAAATTCCGTGTTGTATATTTGATGAACCGCAAATGAATTTATTTCGTTCGCAGAAGAGAAAGATGAGCCAAATATCGGGTTTCCCAATGCGATCTCTACGGCGCCAGTTAAGAAACTGCAGTAGCCCAGGCTGTTGATAAGGTTTCTTGATAACGCGCTGTTGTTACCGCCGCCGAGACTGTTGTATATGTAACCTAAGACTGTCAACTAAACAGTACTACACAATAGCGCAGCCAGAATTGCAGATAACTGCCACAAGATCCGTCGTGAAGATATGTAATACACGTAGAGAAGTTCAAAAAATTGAAGAAGACTTACCTAGTGTCACGAGTGAAACACACTGCACCAAACCCCCAATCATATAACTGACGGCAAAAGCGGTACCATAGACTCCAAGCCTCAACTTGTCCATCTGGCTTCGTGTGATTCTTCCCGCTTGCATCGGTCTCCACGGCTTGTTTAATTTGTCTTCTTCGATAGATGATGGCTGCCGCTCGGCGCTGATTATCGACTTTGAATAGTAGAAGATTGATCCAGACCCATCAAAATGTCAGTGGCAACCGGGAGATCACTACCGTACATAGGCTTTGGCACCATTTGCGGATTGATGCCAAAGGAGGGGCGGCTAGCGCATTAAATATACCGAAGAGAGTCGTATGTAAGTGTATGGGTACAGGGTTAGGCAATACATGATTAGGCAGGTCGTAAAATATGCCATATGTAGGTAGATATGCACCTTTACCCATTTTCATAGAGAGGTTTCAAGAAATTTTTGCTCGCCCATGATAAGACTCTTACATACCTTGTAGTTTGACCTAGACTAATACGGTAGTGCTTAGTCTTTGCACCTGTTGTCGTCTTAGAGTTGTCTAATTGTCTTAAAAAGTAGTCATGCCGCATTTCTTATGAGGCGATTGTTATTATAAGCGTCAATGTTACCACTGTTACCATGCATACGGTTCTGAGTCGTATCAATGAGACAGCGGTAACCCTCAGTCGTGTTAACACGTGGGGAAATTTGATAGGCAGATTTAATCCTCGTATATTCAAGGGCATTTTGATCAATGAAATCTGCCATATGACAGTGCAAAGAACACAGCGGATTGTCGAAGGATGTGAACAGCGCTCATGTCACGTGAGATCACATGATGTTGGTGCAGCAAGTTACTTAGGTATTCACTTATGAGATAGATCGACAAAGCAGGAGCTTGACGGTTCTTATGGGCGAGAGCGGGTTACGGAATCTTCTCCTGTGTCTAGAGATAATGGGCGAAGAAATAATACCCGGATGCGATGATAGCAGCTTGATGTTATGAGGATGCACAGGTGCACATGTGTACATGTCAGGATGAATATGAGGATCTCGCCGATTTACTAGCGATGGACTGGAAGGCAAGCCAACCAAGCGCGCAGCGATTCTAGGCCGTTTCCTTATTTGATGGGATTCTCGTTTCTATACGGCAATACTTCAGGACTAAAAAAAAAGCCACGATGGCGAATTTTCCGTTTGTCGGGCGCAGGGCAACACAGACTAAGCTCGATCAGGGAAGTCCTCGGACCGATGGGAGGAAGATGGGTAGGGGATCTTTAGTCAAGAATGTTCACGCGGGATCTCCCCATCTTTAAAGTTTTGATTTCCCAGCTAGCTCATGGTGGACATGACGGGTCAATCTAGCCAATGAAACCGGACAAATGACATGGTGAAACACGTGCGCGCTTTGCGTATGCACGCCATTGACTTAGCCGAGATCTCAATCGTGGTAGTCTAAACGTCATGGTTCGTTTCCCGCCTCGTTTTGTGTACACGGCAAATTGCATTGCGATCGGCATGGCAAGAAACTCTGCGATTCGCTCGCAGACTCGCCGGGCGCGCGGCTGAGAATGCGGTGCTGTGCATATGAGTGCCCTTACAAATAAATGCTTGTAGTCAATGTTGTTGTCCGCTGTGCGTTCCGACCGTTGCACTCTGTATCGAAATGGGCTGTGGCGCAAGCAGAGAGAAGCTTAACTCTACGGACGAATGGCATAGGAACCGGGGGATCGACAATGGCATCAAGAGCGACAAAGTGGCACAGCGAAAGGAGATCAAGATCTTGCTCCTCGGTGAGTAGGAGTGGAACGGAGACGAAGCTTTCCATAACTATCTTGGTGTTACGGATGTGCTAACACGTTGGTTAGGGGCTGGTGAGTCGGGGAAATCAACATTATTGAGGCAGATGAAGCTCATCCATGAGGGGGAGTATTCCATCGAGGAGCGCAAATGGTACAGACCAGTCGTCTTCAGCAACACGGTTCAGTCCATGGCTGCTGTCGTAGACGCTATGGAACCTCTCGGCATTTCCTTCGCCGACGAAACTCTCCGAGACAACGCCCAACTACTCGCCGACCAGCCTGACAGGATCGAGGACGAAAGTCTACCGGAGTCGATTGGGGCAGCGATTTCTCTGCTTTGGCGTGATGCCGGCGTGCGGGAGTGTTTCGACAGGTCGCGCGAGTATCAGTTGAACGACTCTGCCAAATAGTAAATAACCCCTAATGACCCCACTCACGGATGCATTTTAACTGTTGCACAGTTACTTTGATTCGATTTCCCGGATTGCATCTCCTGGCTATGTCCCTAGCGATCAAGACGTGCTCCGCACACGAGTAAAAACTACCGGCATAACAGAAACTCGATTTACTGTAGGAAGCCTGACTCACCGCGTCTGCGACGTGGGTGGCCAGCGCACCGAGCGAAGAAAATGGATCCACTGCTTTTCAGACGTAAAAATAATCATGTTCGTCGCGGCCATCTCAGAATACGATCAGTTGTTGTTCGAGGATGGCACAATAAAACGCATGGACGAAGCCCTAGTGTTATTTGAATCTATCGCTAACTCGCAATGGTTTATCGGCACGCCTTTTATTCTGTTCTTTAACAAGATCGATAGACTGAAAGAGAAGTTGCAGATGCTTCCTTTGGTAGAGTACTATCCGGATTTCGCAGGTGGCGAAAATTACGCTGCGGCATGCGCTTATTTCTCGAAACGCTTCACCTCGCTGTGTCACGACGATTCAAAACCCATATACACGCAGTTTACATGCGCGACAGATTCCAATCAAGTGGAGTTGGTCATGTCAGCAGTCAACGGTACAAAATTTCCCTCCTCTGACGCGACCTGCAAACAAAGCTAAGATTGTCCAGATATTATTGCCAAAAGTTTTCTAGAATCCAGCGTAGTAGTTTGAGTAGCTGAACGGCAAATTACTTTCTGCTGGTCCAGATATGTACTTCGAAGTTCAAACCGGACAAAACACCAAACAAAGGCCGCATCAAAGGGTGTCAACCGGTGCGTGAGGATGGGGGGACAGCTAGGGTCTTTTCGAGGACTGGACGCTTCAAGATTTCGCTGGCGAAATCACGACAACTCTTGTGGTACTCTCAAACCCCAGAGAATCAGATTGGAGATCTGGAGGATGAGGAATATGAAGGCATTGGGTGACTCTTGCGCATTTTGCAAGATAGCAGGTATACCTAGGTACGGGTATCGAGAACATGATATTTGCTGTTTTTGTTCCTGAGTTGCACATTATTATTCTGCTAGTTTATTCAAATTTTATAACACCAAGGGTTTGTGCCGCATAAACATGCGATGACAATACAAGAGACCTATGTATAATGTAAGAGTTTGTGGTCGTAGCATGCATTGCAGCATTACACACCTCCATACACGATCAGACAATGGCAAAGCACAAAATAACTAATCTCCCCGCGACCAACTCTCTACTTACTTGCCGTGTGTGGCGTACATCAACCGATCTGCGCGATTCTAGCTTATCGATCGACAAGCGCCAAACCATCCTAGAACCGATCGATATCCCTCCTCAGGGGTTCACCAAAACCCCGTCACAGAGCAGACACAACGCTGCCCACTTCCGTACTAGCGAAGAAGCGTCGCCGCTGTTAAAACCAATCCGCAGGTCCATTTCACCAACTGCAAGTATGTTAGTGCTAAAACAAGGGCGGTGGTAAGATCAATGCTGTTTGCTTGGCAAGGGCGCCGCTTCAGCCTAGGATAAGTGGTTTGCACCAAAACAACCCTTCGTACAGGTTAGCGGCACCCGATCGCTTCCCGTCTGTCAATAATTTTCCGTCGATCACTACACGAGTAAGATGTACAGTAGACGAGATGATCGCATCTTGCCTGGTGTCAATGCTCCGTGCCGTGTTCCCCCAAATGCTAGTGATTACTAGCTCATCGGGGACCTCGCGTGCATTCGTGAGTGAGCGAGCGAGCCGTTCGGCATACGAGTCTATCCCAATTCTCGGGCAATTGGTATTTACTCCACATATAGAAAAGCTAAAGTGCGGCTCTTCCCTCTCGTATCAGACTGCAGTTCAGGCTCGAACCTCTCGTCAACTTTCGGGGCATCCTTCCCAAAACCATGGACTCTTCGCAGCTCAACATCTACAACTTTCCCCCTCAACCCCCAAAATGGGATAAAGTCGGGCTGTTCTTCGTATCCTTCGCCTCGACATGGACAACAGTCGTGCTAGCGGGCATGGTTTTTTGCTGGTGGAATCGGGACCTCCCCATACTGAGAATTCGCGGGCTACCGCTCGCATTTGGGTCCGTCATTTTTCTGCACATGTACTGGCTCATGGCGCAGATTGTGTATCCTGTGGGGGGCAGCATGCCAATTCCGATTGCTTACACGGTGCAATATTTCATCATGGGGACGTGGTTCCCGCTTGGTATTGTATGGTGACCCTCCTTTCGATCAGAACGTGCGTGAGAGAAGAAAGGAAGGAATGAAAGAAATGATATGAATGAGTACTAGCTGACTTTAACGAATTGGGATTTTTCTTTAGGCACTCTTCCACGCTGCCAACCTTCGTTTTCTTCGCGTCGCGGAGCTGCAGAGAAGATTTGTAGCCCCAGATGTGAAGACTAAGCAAGTGCTCTCCAGATCGTCCCACTATTCCTGGGTCAGTCGGATCCGCAACATAAGGTACGGCAAAAAGGTTACAATAATCATCTCGAGTGTTGTAGCAATCCAGGTACGACTCGTAACATTTCTCTATTTACAATTCCTCTCCCCTCTTTAGAGACGAACCAAACCTGACGATAGAACCGGTGGCTAGTGGATACTATGCGCCGTCATGTGGGTAATGTGCTCGAAGTACCACCCTTCGTTCGGCCTCCCCGGCACCGCAATCAAGGGCTCCACGGTCCCCGAACAAATTATTGATCTTGGACGAGGCTGGGAATGGATACCGTCTGTGGTGTACCAGTTCATCTGGACATGGGGGGTTGCTCCTTACCTCATCGTTTGCGCCTGGAATATTCGCGACACCATGGGCTGGCGCACGCAAACGATCGGAGCCTGCATTTCAGGGTCAGTCTAGTCATGCAACCAGTGGAATCGATCGTACATACTGACCAGCGTTGACGATTAGATTGCATGCCACGCCCATGTTCCTGATCGCATCGTACGTTCCTGCTTTCAACGGCATCAATCAGTACTACCCTCCCAGCCAGTGGTACGTACATAATTCGAAGTCCCCCAGAATGTTCAAAACAAAGAATACTTACAGCCCTCGATATAGGATCCACCTGCACACCTTCTTCCTCGAGATCCTGACCGTATTTATCCCTGCCTATGAAGTCATAAAACACCATCTTCGCGCCAAGCAAGCCGCGCAGCATCGTGACCGATGGGACACCGAGTCGCGACAAGCCGTAGATGTCTGCTTTGACAAGAAGGATTCGCGGCAAAGCTCTCTCTCCTCCGGCAGCGCCGACTTTCTATCGACCCTAAGCGTAGCCAACATTGACCAGATGCTAGGACTCGGCGCGCTGGAGCACGCGCTGGCCCAGTGTTCGAAGCCGCTACTCGAATTCTCGGCCTACAGCGATTTCTCAGCGGAAAATATCGCGTTCCTAATGCGCGTAGGCAAGTGGAAGGCATCGCTAACGTCGGATATAGCGGAGAAAGGGTCGTTGGATGGCGGGAATTGGGACGAGGAAGGGCGGATCAGCATGTATAATGCTGCGCTCTCCATCTATATTGATCTTGTAGGTCCACGCGACGCCACGTTCCCGCTCAACCTCTCGTGGCAGCAGCTCAGCGATCTGGAGCACGTTTTTGAGCGTCCCGCGCGCATCGTGCAGGGCGAAGGATCCGACAATGGGAGCTCAGCGTTTGTTTTCGACGACGCGCTTCCAACTTCGAGGGATAGCGATCGCCTGTCGTCGCGCTTAACCGGCTGTGATGGGGCCACGGCGCTGCTGGCGAGGTACACAGGTGAGATCTCGCACTTGTTTACGGAGCGCGTGTTTGATGATGCGGAGAGGCATGTGAAGAATTTGGTACTGTTGAATACGTGGCCGAAGTTTGTGTATTCGTTGAGGAGGGGATCGGTGGATTCAGGGAGTAGTACGGGGTCGAATAAGGCCCGGCTGCAGTTGTTCTAGTTCAGCACTGTAGTTGTGATGAACATAGTGGTATGCAAGAAGTTCTAGGTACTGGCAATTGAGCCTGGAATTTCGATAAATGAAAATCTGCGATGTCAAATTTGATCGTTCGCGCCAAGATTATTGCGACACCATGGGCACAACCTGCTTTATGTTGAGAATGTCGCATTTCCGCGAAGCACAAATGGCAAGTAACAAGACCAAGCGCAAGTGCTCGGCTGTTTATTGAAACTTGACGATCGATGAGATTATACTACACTCATGCACTGCTTCGTCCTATTCCGCTCCGTCCAACATTTGAACCCCCCATTTAGAAACAAAATATCAAAATAACTACCCTCTTTATTCTTGCTCGACAGCCTCATGCTTTTCTGGTTCTTCCTCGTTTCTATTTTTTCTCGTTGAATACCACTGGGCGTCAAGGTTGCGAAAGAATCCATAGAACGCTATCCCACTACATGCCATTGTACCAGCAAGGCTCGAATACATAATCACCAGCCAAGGATCTTTCGAAACAGGCCCAAGAGCTATTCCAAGCGCAGCGCCTAGTCCAGCCGTGCATTGCTCAAAGGCTTTTACTAGTGCCTTCATGTTAGTAGGCGCCTCAGTGTACGCGAACTCATTCAGAGCCACGAAGCCGAAAATTTCACTGGTGGCAAGAAGGATGTGAAATGGAATTTGCATCCAGACACTGATTTCGTTGGGTTGGTAATGAATCGTGGTAGCGTCTCTCCAGACTATACCGGCCTCACAGGCTTTAGGATGCGAAAAGCAGGGGCCTCGATTGTATATGACTTCCTGAACACCCGCTGCATATGCCATGGCCGCCGCCATGAATATAAAGGCTACCGCCATTCTTGAAATGGGTCCGAGGACGATGCGATGGCGTGAGAGAAAGCCGAAAAGCCCTTGCTGAATTAAAGGGTTGAGGAATATATAGAAGATGGCGTTGAGGGATTGGACTGTGTCGTTTGAGATACCGTCGAGTTCCATCTGGTTTGCCTGAGATATGATATTATTCATCGTCTGATTGAAGCACAGGTAGAAGATGGTGAAGCAGATTATCACGCGACAGGCGCGAAAACCTCGCCGCACTTCATCGACGAAGGTTGACGTCCATGGGACTGAACGATTGTGATGCTGTTTTTGGATGGAAGGGTTGGCTGCGCTTAGATGCAAGTTGGATCGCGCTGCGAGGATAAGTACCTTGCTTGTGTCGGCCAGCACAGTTCCTTCTGGGGGAAGTTTCGCTGGAAATCAAATTAGTAGAGGAAGTGTAAGAAGTTTGACGAACGTACTCAGGCGCTGATTCCAGAATACAAATGGGACGATAGAAGCCCCCAAACAGCACAAAGGTAGGAGATAAGCAGCCCAGAAGCCTATCTTCTTTTCCATTTGCGTTGTAGCTAGGACAAATAGAGCCGCAATATTGATCATCCTACTTCTGTGGTCAGCATTCAACAGAGCGGTATAATGGGCGAGCTTAAACTGACCAGTAGAAAGTACTAAAAACAAACTGAACCGTCATTTTCCGATCAGTTACAACTCTTTCTCCGTTCTTGTAGCGAATGACCCGAGACTTTGACTCTGGTATCTGATCACCTAAGCCCAAGTTAGCCACATCCCGATTCCCCGCCCACTATACCCACTTACCCAAAAACGGAAATATCACAGCAGAGGTGCCTCCTTGTCCCAACGCGATCAAAACCATTGCAGTAATGATTCCAGCCAAAGCGGTTTTCTGGTTTTTGATTGCAAAGGGGAGAGCCGTAATAAATAACACCACTTGACCAACAACGAAAGTGCTGCTCATCATAAGCAAGTTATAGTTGCAATGCGCACGGAGAATACTAACAGCAAACTGAGAAGCAACGTCTTGTACCGTCCAAGCCATGTATCAGAGATAATTGCAAATGGCAACGGCGTCAGGTAGCTAAGGCATAAAAAGGCACTGTTGATAATTGTTGCCATGGACTGCCCGAGACCAAGCGCACCAGGAGATAGAGGATTATCGGGGGGGTTCTGGAGATAGTTCTCTATGAGACTTCAGCTTCGTCAACGACGCATCGAAATGTGACCACCTTACGCCATGGTACTGTAGTAGCATAAAAGGCAAGACGCTGTGCAGCTCCAATACAGGCCACAAGCCACACTTCTCCCGTCACTCCTTCAGCTACATGACGAAGCTTTTCTATCTCATCTAAGGTTGCCTCTCTCGGGTACGAGTCACTGGCATCAGATATCGACTCTGTCACCACGATGGCAGTCTCTTCAGAGCTCTTCGTCCCCTTGTCTAACACAATAGTAACTGCTTGGCTTGAAGTCTCGAGTGACTGGCGTGGCGACATAGTTACAAGAGATGATAGTAGAAGATAGGCGCTGAATATTTGGAGTGGATGTAAAGCAAATTGATTACCAAGAACGAGGAGACTGAAGTTACTAGAGAAATAGTGATTTCCAAAGGGTTTCCTCTGAACGGGAGACAGTATAGAGTAAGTCCTTAAGACCTTCATGTAGCTTGTCATATCGTTCTCCCCAAACAACCCTCCTTGCCCCATTCAGATAAAGCTTAGGGCATGATACAGCCCGTTGAGGCCACTGTGACAAACCAATGGACTCATTTTCGGGATCCGTAATCCGCAGGAGCTAAATTTTCACTCGCGCTAAATGACGACGTGCTTCTAAATTGTCATGGTTCAATGAGAAGTGGGTCACGAGCTGAAGGCAGCACCACACCCAAATCCTTTTGCTGATGCCGGTGAAGGCAAGAAGGCAGAAAAAAGGCAGATGGAAGGTGATGGCTGAGAATGAGCCAAGATTTTAGGTTAGGGTGCGGCGATCTACTCCCCAAAGTTCATTGTCGGGGTCTATCCGTTACCACAACCCGAGGGTGGGTAGTATGCAGATGTTTCTTAATATTTCTCATCTGATTACCATGCAAATGTCGTCTATGAGTTCGGGGTTTGATCACCATAAATTCCACTTTGAGTGTTATTCCCGTGTCTATAATCTGATTACGGCCCCCATGTCTCACTGGGTCAGATTCGAGCATATTCCAGAATGGATCACCACCTTGACAAACACCAAAAGGAGAAAAAGATCTTCCGCATTTCCCAACCACATTACCACCTTCATGTGGATCATGTCCGATTGGCCCACCCCAGCACTTCTCAATTCTAGGCAATATTCTTCAACCCAACCCACTTCTCTATCATATTCGCGTCGTCGCGGCCCGCAACCCACGCGGCATACCGTATCGAAACACCTCAACCGATGAAGACTGCAGGAACGACACAGGTGCCGTTGACCTGCCGTTTTTGGAGCGGCGTGGCTTTGGTCTACCAACCGTCCGGGTGCGAGTGTGCGCCCCCGCTGCAACGACAACTCGGCCGCGGCTATGTCCTGGATGGTGATTGGTTTCGTGGGACTCTATTTAGTTAGGCGAGGGGCGGGAGAGTGTGATGCATAGCTATCGTATCTACTTGGCGGAGGTTGCCTTCAATTCGACATGCCTAGTTCACTGGATACTGAACACTCTGCTGATAAGCTCTCTTGACGACCTCTTTCGGGTACCGAGGCCCACCTGATTGTTCTCTCTTAGAGCTACAATGCCGCAGAGAAATGCGATGATTCACTACCGTCCTTAGTTGGAGCTACAATACTTGGGATGGATGGAATTTGATGAAGTAAGGTGGATGGTGCCTCTAAAGCACTACTCAAGCTCATAGTTAAACTCTCTCCTGATTCTATCAGCGATGTTCAATGCCTCTTTGCGACTCTTTCTGCTAATGACATAGAAATATCCTACGAAACCAAGTTCGCTAGCATTTGGTCCGTTTAGAATAGCCCCTCCTTTTGCCCACGTCATATGTTCCGGAACTACTGCTTTTAGGTCTGGATTTCTCTCCAGAAACTCGCTAGATGCATCGCGCGTCTTCATGATGCCCTTTTTGGTCTCGGGTATCACAACAAGTACAAGCCACCACTGTGGGCCTTGCATGAACGGTTGCGATAGGAAACTGTAACGCTCCATATCTCCAACGGCCCGTAGAAATTCGAGAGCGTAGTAATCGACGCCGTATGTCAAGTGGCAGGCAACATTGCCATAGTAACCTGGTGGTCGAGCGTTGATCTCGTGCAGGTGAAAGCTTGGTACTGTGCGGTACTCCCCGATTGTTTCACTTTCATACAGATCTTCAACACCTTCCCGAATACCATACTTCATGCGTGAATACCTAACGCGGCCTTCACAGTTGAACACACCGTCCTTGAAACCCTGACGTAATAGCGTCTGGTGCAGCGAAAAACGGATCAGTTCGATCTCACTATGCGGTAACGCGGAGGGGTACAGCATTGATGTTTCTTGAAATGGATCCTCCCATTCACTGTCTGCGTAGTCCGGCTTGCTAGGAAAGTCATCTGCAACTTCGAAAAATGCTATCTCGCCACCCAATAAGACAATGTTGGCATCGATCTCGGGACCTTCGACGTAAGATTCTATCATCACATCAGTACGCCGAATCGGGGATAAGCGGTGGCGTTCTGATGCTTTTTCAACTGCGCGCAAAAGCTCGGTTTCGGTATGGACCTTCGAAATACACTCGCTAGCCCAACCTATACAGGGTTTCACAACCATGGGGTATGGAATTGGAGGGAATCTATTCGAGGAAAGGCGGTCTCTCAGATCCTGAACATTCTGCACCCGTAATGAGGTCACATCCGAGGATGGCTCCATCTCGCGCGTTATGCATTTGTCCGCAGCTATGATAAATGATTGCGCCGGCGATGTTCGAAGTCCCAGCGTCTCACATGCTTTTGCGACAGATACAAGTCGTTTGTTACTGGAGGTAGTGATGCCATGTATTGGTTTTTCGTAGCGGCGAATGGCATCTACAAGGCGATCTGCAAGTCCTGCATCAGGGTCAAGATTGGTGGGAATGAAGTCCTCTCGCAGATGATTCCATCGTGCATCTTGCAGCCAGTGCCCTTCATTGTCCAGAATCACTACAGCGATGCCCAGTGCTACAGCTGAGTCCCAGATTCTCTTGCTGTGGTCTATATTGTACCTGCCGCGCACCCAAGCAATTCGAGTAAGTGGAGGGCAAGAAGGGGCAATCCAAAGATACGAGAGCCGGTTATCGAGCTCCACCTCGACTTCGTCCAAAGCGTCAATATTGCTCACAATCAGCCCACCCACTGCGTCGGAAAGGATGGAAAACAGTATTGACGCATCAGGGCGATCATCATCTGAAATTGCGGCGCGATTAATATGATGTCGAGGTTGCAAGAAGCTCCGCGCAACGACCAGAGCTCTGTATCCTTCCATCCGCCGTTCCAGAAAATCAGACCGGGTACAGAAGCCTTCACGGTCGGCGAGAATGAACTTCATGGCAACACCATCATCTGGTGACACCTGCCACTCTGTGCGCTGTAGACTGTCGATGACGAATTCGGACCAAGGCTTCCCACCATCGAGATGCGGCGGGCCGGATTCGTCGTTCCGGCCCGTGCTCGTACTGATGCAGGGATCCGGTTCAGTAGCGTATGTACGGGGCGACCATTTGAATACGAGGTCCAGCGTTCGGCAGTGACGCTGATTAGAGCCTGCATTTACTTTCCATTGCGCCGTAAGCGACACTAAATGTACGTAAGCAAGGTCATAGACTATCTTCTATCACAATACATACACTCCTTGCCTTGAACGTTGGCCAAGAGCAGGCAAGAATTCATCGCCGTCATTAAAATGACTTGGCACTGGGTCCGACCCTGACAAAAAGTCGTTCGAAAGTCCGTTGGAGGGGAATTCCGCGAAGACGGAAGAGGGTGGTTGTGGATTTTACTTGGTTCGCACCCAACGATGATACCGGCCTTTATGCATGCCACGTTCAACCCTGCGATGCATTTTCTACATTATCGGGCTACACAATCTACAAGCTTGCGGCATTGCTGCCCAAAGCTCATAGATTGATAGGTTGCCTTGTTGCTGCAGCCATCGCAACGGTGATGGGGCCAGAGTTTACGTATCAATGTAGGAGTAGGTTCTGTGATTGGATTTTCAAGGAGGCCGCCTACAATCGCTTCATCTTCCATGACTTTGGTCCAGGAATGTTACACGTTCATTGGATGTGCTCAAAGCGAATCATCTTGAAAACTATTGACCTTTGCCTACTAGTCCTACTTGTGAACCAAACTATCCACCTTGCTGCTGCTCAGAAAGTTGTACACTGATAGCCTGACCAGGGGTGGTTTGCTCGGCTTCCGATTGTGGGAAAATTGGGTCCCAATATTCCCATTCCCGGCCGGGGTCTTTACTACCAGGCGATACGAATGTTGATCTCCCTGTTCCCCTATCATACGTGTTATATGAACACGCAAGTCTTTTCATTCCCCCACCCGGCAGGTTGACGACGAAGTTCGGAGTCATGAAACCAGCTGTCGAACCACGTATCTCGGCCTCCAGCCTCAAGATTTCATGCAGCGGTGTGCGCATATCCTCGATCCCGCGGACCATGTCGCTCTGGAAAACGTAATACTGGGTGGTAGTCGGTTAACTTCCATTTTTGTCAGGCGTGTGTTTGACTTACCGGTTGAATGTTCATAGATGCAAGCTGATGAATCAATGACTTCATGGTTTCGACGTTGTTGTTCACCCCGTTCAACAAGACCGTTTGGTTACGTACTACTACAGCTTCCTCGTGTAGTCTCTGGGCCGCCTTCTTGGTAATCCAGGTTATCTCGTTCGGTGAATTGAAGTGTGTGTGGAGAGCCACACTCTTTCCCATCTTCCTGGCCTGACGGGAAAGATCAATCAAGCTACTAGCCCAATTATCATTTGGATCGATGAGTCTACTGGGGCAAATTGCGACTCCTTTGCTGGCTATTCGAACACGTAGTATGTGCGGGATTTTGAGCAGACGCTCTCCTATCAACTTTAATTGATCCGAGCTTAGAGTGTAGGTATCACCACCAGAAACCAGAATATCTTTTAGGGTTGATGTACGCTCGATGTAGTCGAACATGATGTCCCATTTCTTATGTATGGGTAGGAACCTTGTCTTGTTGACGGCATTGGTATCGACCCCAACGCTATAGGAACGTGTGCAGTATCGGCAATACACAGGGCAAACTGAGCTTGCTAATATTTAAATTAGCAATGAGGTGGTGATGGAGCATCATTGTCGTACCCATAAAAACAGCCTTGTCTGGATATCTGTGGATTATTCCCTTCACTGGGGAATCACCTGTCTCATCCAGAGAGTCAAACGCCAGTTTCGGGTGATCAGGTCGAAAACGGGAGCCTAGTGGAACGTACTGGCGCAAAAGGGGATCTCGAAGAGGGTCTGTCCAATCGATCAAGCTAAGGATGTAGGGAGTGAGTTTGACAGCCATTGGAGCTCGCCGCATTCCATCTTGGACATCTTGGATAAGTTCTTTCGCTGTTCTAGGGTCTCTGGTAAGCTGGTCTCTTCGTGGGAGAAATTCAGGAAGAACAGCATTCATAAATCCGGATAGTTGGTGAGCATTGTGTACTGAATTGTTGGCCTGAGCTGTATGTGAGATTGATAGTCATGACTATCTTGGGTGAATTGCACTTACCTGCCAGTCATAGCTTAGAAAGCTCCCCTCGCTGACATCTGACCAAGCAGGTATCTGTTTCCAGAAGGCATGACGATGAGTCAAATGGGTATGTACAAGTCGGCGAGGTGTTAAGATGAGGCTTAACTTGTTGACACTGTTCCCTGAATGAAACTGAAGGCACGAGACCCTCTTAATCTTTCCCAGTGAGAATGGCTGTCGAGAGCAGTACATTGTAGCTAGCAAGATACAGAGATCCCAATATGAGTCGATGAATTGGGGGCTCAGTCGAGTCCTCTCATATGGTTCTACGCATCCAACGCGGTGACTAACCACTTATCTAATCACACAACGCTGTGAGATTCAGGCTGAATTCCCGCTGCACCGACCTGTAAGTCATTATTCAATTACTGCCCAGTCCTTGAGACCAAAGTCCGTCCTGACCCTAGTGACGGTGAAGGGGCTAGCTGTGTCCGGATGCGCTAATGCTAAGAGTGCGGGAACTATTATAGCTCCCGCAATTCCTAGCAGTCTTATGTAAGCCACAAAGTCCGATGAACCCCCACATAGCATAGTCAAGCAACAGCCAAGTACTCTCGGGTAAAAGCCAATTTCGCCGGGACAGCTAAAATCAATTAACACTACCGAATCCCCACGTACAGATCAATCACTAGCAGCAGATATTCGGAACTTTCAAGTACGAGAACCTCTGTTGAACATGATGGGCCCGCGGCGTACCTCAGATGCCTCAGCTATGACTACATCCACATCCCGCTGCTGATGAATCACATTGTTGGTCAGACTGGCTGTGCTCGTTTGATCATCCGCAGCGCCCACTCCGATTTCGTTGTGAACCGTGCTTGTGATACCCAGGCCTCCCAGTGACGACTGGAGCTTCCGAGATGATCTGCTCCCATAGGTCTTATAGGATGATTTCCACGGCCGGAGCTCAATGGAATTATTCGATTTGTAATTGCGTGGAATCCCCGAGTCAATCAGACTAGATTGTAGGGCGTCGAAGAACGGCTTGATGGATGGTACGCAGGCTGTTATGATGCTAAGATGTATCGTAATTCTGCCATTGTTAGCTCATGCCACCTATATAAGACATTTAAACGTACTGATTCCACATGGTCGGCCAGAGATAGTACCCTATACTTCGTTAGACCCTTTCGACTCGGGTTTCAAGATGAGGATTGATTTACAGCTAACATCATTTTTCGACAGATACGGCTCCAATGTGCCGAGTCGAATACCGGCAGCAATGCACACCCTGTTGTGTCTTGTGAGAAAAAATCATTCCAAAGCTATATATGGGGTATTACAAAATGCGAACCCAAAACAATCCCATCACTAGAATCCTTTTTTGTTTTGGTATCTGCACTTTCCATACAATAAATATGGGAAGAAGCGCGATGAAAGCATCTGTTAGAATGTTGATAACTCCATGAGTATAAAGAAGGCCCCCCTGAAAATCTATCGTCAGTATTTTAATGTGTATGTGCGGAGATTTGGTATCTGTCGACTTACGTGGTCGACACAGGCGTTTTCGAATGCTCTCATGGGCACTCGGGCTCCGCACTGAAAGGAGGCGGAAAAGACATATGCTATACCCCAAAGAATCGTGAAAACTGTAAACCATCTGGAAATCATAGCCATAGTGTGTGATGGCGTAATCTGGGCAATCAAGGCCATCATCGAAAGCTTGACAAGAACAAAAACAAAGACGGATAGTATTTCGCTAGCAAAAATCGTCTGGTCTGACTTCAGCCCCGGCTTCAGATCGAAGGTATCGACCCTTCTAATGTATAATCTACGTACCCGATTATATGAAGGCCTTTCTGTGCCATTCAGAGTGTCATAATGCCTTCCCAAGCCCGACCGGACCGCCTCGCTATCGCAGATGCCTTGCGCAATGGCAAATAACTACAAAAGTTGTCAGTGGTCGCTAATCAGCGACAGGTTTCGACGTACGTACCAACGCAATGACTATCAAAGCACTGTCGGGCCCAAAATGTCGCGATGTCCAAGTGCGCAGAGCAACGCGAACGGCGACAAAAAGCGTCGATATGCAAGCGAAGATCCAAGTCGCGATAATCACGTAGGAGCCGTGGTTATCGCGAGTGATGGTACCGTATGGAGCATATGTCCCGCCATTGATGGGAAACTCGATGCCGTCTGATGCCATGGAACAACGATGAATCAAAATGTTCTAGATGCAGCAGAAGACGGGACTAGCCAACGCCACTAGAACTATATAAAGGCTAGCGTTGTACAGTGCGCGCTGGTCGCATGTATCTGGTGATCTTGTTCATATGAAATGTCTTTGCACCAAACATCTATCCAAATCAGACCCCAACGCCATCATCGGCCCGAGGAAGCCATGTTCAGCACCCGTGTTTCGGCTCGGGCTGTACAATTGTGATTCGTATCCAATCCGTGTCGTCAGCATTTGATCCTTTCCAGAACCGTGCGTGATTGTGCAACCTTCAGCTGAAGCCACCTGCCACTTTGGTCTTATCAGCTTGAAGGCTTTTCTTGTGTAACTGTGCAGACGGTCCCGCAGGGTTGGAAAGCAGGCAAACGGCGTATGAAGGCATGCAGAGATAAGGCGCAGTACAGGATATCCATGGATTTAATCTCGGCTGCATGAAGATGCTCGGACTTAGGCCAATGATTTCCGCCATCCGTATATCAGTCTTACGACGACGCCAATCATTTCCTAATGCGCTCGTCTGCAAAGTGCCGTTCGCCCCTCGATAGCTATTGGTGAATGTGAATGAAAAATGTTGGATCGTGCGCAACACGGGCAGGCTGAAGGAATGATGACTAACCAAAGGGCCAATAGGCAGAGTACATTTGAGTGTTTGGTTGCTTTGCGATCGCGTGGATGCCCCACCCCATTTGCGCAACTACATACATACATACATACATACGTACATATATACATACAGTTTCACCAGAGATCTGCGACAACATGACAGCGACGAGACTCACCTCGGATGAGCTCAGGCAAAGAGTCATATCCAATACCGGCGAGGATGGACGCCTCAAGGACAACACGCTGGACTTGGATGCCCGTACGGTCGCAATCCTCAGTAAGAGGCACCAGATCAGCGTAAGAATCATTGCGAGCCTCGCCTTGCATCGACAGTCCGTTGACATCAGTCCAGAAAAATTTCGGCTTCACGTCCATGTTGAGCTTCTCCACTACGGTGCTTGTATCCTGGGAAGCTTTCGCCGTGTGAGTGGGATATCTCGAACCATCACAGTACCACCTTTTCTAACCAATCATTTAGAACCTTTCAAGGAGGTTTAGTAAATGGCGGTCCTTCTACCCTGGTTTATGGCCTGATTTTCTCCTTCTTCGGTTCTCTGGCTACTGCGGCATCACTCGCTGAGATGGCCTCAATGTTAGTCTCTTCGATCCGTCTTGTTCCTCGCTCTCGACAAAGACTAACCACGATGCCTCCAGTTCACCGACTTCAGGAGGTCAGTATCACTGGGTTGCATTGTTGGCGCCTCGAAAATATGCCATCATCTTCAGCTGGTTTGCCGGTAGGTTCAGTCCTTCGCATTCTCTTTTGCAGTGTCCTGACACTTTACAGGCTGGATTACAGCGTTCATGCGAATCGCAGTCACAGCAAGCGTCGCTTTCCTAGTGGCTACTATGATCCAAGGACTAATCATATTGAACTACCCCGACACATACGCCCCTAAACAATGGCACGGGACGCTAATGTACTGGGCCGTCACGGTTGTCATCGTGCTGATCAACATATTTGGCATCCGCTTTCTCCCTCACATCGAAACACTAGCCCTGATACTGCACGTGATCTTCTTCTTCTGCATCCTCGTACCTCTGGTGCATCTGGCCCCGCGAAGCTCTAGTGAGTTCGTATTCAAGTCGTTCGCCAACAATGGCGGTTGGGAAAGCAATGGTGTTTCGTGGTGTATTGGTCTTTTGACATCAACTTACGCTTTCTCTGGTGTTGATGGTGCCTCTCACATGGGTAAGTAAGCCTTCATCGCAAAATATTCCAATTACCAGTTCGACTAAGCTCTAACCTGACGGTGCAGCCGAAGAAGTAGACAATGCAGCTGTTGTTGTCCCTCGCACGATGATCTGGAGTATCATTGTCAGCGGAGTCCTCTGTTTTGGGATGAGTATCGCGATCCTCTTCAGCATCGGAGATGTCGCCGCAGCTTTGGAGACCCCAACGCTGTTCCCAATCATTGAGATTTTCTTCAACGCCACCAAGTCTTACCCAGCCACCAATGCCATGGTCTCAGCTTTAATTATCTCCATTTTCTTCTCTGCGCTAGGTCTACTAGCCTCGAGCTCTCGACTCATTTGGGCATTCGCTCGTGACGATGGGGTCCCATTCTCCCGTTACTTCTCCCATGTAAGTCTCACAGAATAGACTCGCCGGCGTACATCTAACAGTATATCCAAGGTCGACACTCAATTTGGCATTCCGGTTCGCGCCATTCTATGGAGCGCAGTGGTTATCGCACTCCTAGGTCTGATTAACCTGGGATCGACGACGGCGTTCAACGCCATGGTTTCGCTCGCCTTGCTCGGACAATACTCGACGTATGTAATTCCAACCATCTTCATTCTTGCCCGCCGCGTCCATCCAGGAAAAAACATCCCATTTGGTCCGTGGGAATTGGGCAAGTGGGGCATCCCGATCAACATCTTCACAATCGTCTTTTCGTTTGTGACGATTGGATTCAATGTTCTCCCACCCTACTTTCCCGTAACCGCCGTAAACATGAATTACGCGGGAGTCGTGTTTGGGGCCGCACTCATCATCTGCGGCTTGCTTTGGTTTGTTAGGGGAAAACGGCATTACGCGGGACCGATTCGGGAGGTCATGGAGAACGGCAATGTGAGATCAGCGCTTTTGAACCGCGAGAGGGAATCTGCGTATGGGGTCGAGGTCCATGATGCTGATAAGAGGGCTTAACCCAGTTCGAGATGACAGATTAAATACGGGGCCGGAACGAAACTCAGTTTCTTGTAGCTTGCTTTCACATATGCTGACTGCGAGCATTTGTATTAATCAGCTTCTCTTGGTCGATCGATGGCGTAATGGACTTGCCATTCTAAGCAGCGTGTGTAAGATATGTGCGCGATCACCATGCGGCTCCATATAATGTTTCTGGGACGAAAAGCTCAATCAGATTCCGCTAGTTCTCATACTATATACTCCGCTCAGTACAGCCTCTTATTATGTCGCTTCAGATACTCCTCGGCAGTCACATTGTCGTACCCGGATGGACGATCAGCCGACACGAAGTGCGATAACGGTCCCAAGGGTATGTGTGGCGGGGCGCGATAAAACATGACTGCTGATCGTCTCTCAGGAATGTGGGTGTTTCCAGATTCAGGTGCTACAATTGACGGGGTAATGGCAGGTGGTGAGCCCACTCGATGCACAGCCGCTCGCAGATACCCATTTGTCCAGCGTTCCAACGTGTCCGACACCAGAAGCACCATATCGCCCTCCTTTTCTATGGATAAAGGTGCAAACTCATTTCCTCGGGATTCGCGGGTTTCCAACTCCAGCCCACTCGCGCCGATTCCGTGTTGTAGCAAGGCACTCACCACCCCAAGATCCGAGTGCGGCCAGATCCTTCTCATTGAGGCTTTTTTGGTGGGAGATTGGTTATTTTCACTTACCCGCGCACCCACACTTCCTTCTAGGACAGATTTTTCCACCTCTGGATAGAAATTCAAGTTGAGTTCTGCCCCTTCGCCTCCCGAGGTACGAGTGCTGATGGATCCCGTGGGGGCACTTAGCCCTTCCTCGATAACATCCACGAGAACGCGACACGTCTCTCCAATCTCCTTATAAGCCTTTCTAGTTGCTTCGTCGAAGCCGGGAAGCAGTTTTTCGTCTAGCTGGGGTGTTGGAAATGCAGTGTCTTTGGGTGGACCAATCGCGAATTGCTCGCGTGCATCTAGAAGCGGTGTCGGCGATTGTATAGTGGACTCCGCCTGGACGTTTGCGTGTTGAGAACGGGTAGCAAAAAATGGCAAGTCTGATTCCTTGGTAGTCGTAGTCGAATCGGATTCTAGGGTTGGCGCAGTGTGAAGATCGGGTCTCAGAACGGCTGTCTTTTCATAAGCCCACGGCGAATAGCCCCTTGCTGGGGCTTCACCTCCCGGATGGCGGACGCTAAGCTTGGCGGAAAGCGGGAGATCAAAAAATCGACGATGCTACATACGTTTCACTCCGGTTAGGGTTCTCCCGAGCTCAAGCACAGAAGGGAAAGCACAGTATAAGGGTATAGTGTCGAGATGAGATGTACGCGTACATATTCGAACAGTCCCTTGACGGTAGCAGGGGCGACGCCATGATTGCGCACCCTCGCAAACCCATACTTTCTTAGTTGTGAAATGAGCTCTGTAGCAAATGATGATCGAGAATAAGGTTTCAACTGAAGCTTGCTGGCGAAGAAAATCTGGGAGGCATCTAGAGTCGAAGGCCACCGGACCATGCTTGCGCCGACAATCCTCAATGGTTCTGAATAGTCTAGGTAGATCTATAACTAGACGGGTCGAGACATGGGTGGAAATGATCAAGAAAGATGCTGTGAGCGGGCAGAGCCAGGTGCACATATGTAGGTCGAAGATAGATGTGATTACATAATGTAAGTTACAAGGCTCCGTGTCTGCAGCCTGACTTGCCACCTTCCTACTTAGGTATGTGAGTATGTACATTAATATGTATGTACATATGTATGTTGATATGTTGGAATGTGGTGTTGAGGTCCCCGGGCCCACTCCGTGCTCACCTATTTTGAAATGAAGACTTATTAATTTCGTGACAACCACCAAATATTTATTCTGAATAGAGCTTGAGAGTGAATTTCCAGGTTTTCATACTATGTGTTTGTGCCGCATGGAATATGCGATGATCACATGATAGACCTAGTATGTTCAAAAATTGAATGTTGGTACCCCACTTTTCTGTGTAACCGCTGCGCCTCCATGCATCAATATCGACTCTCTCCCCCCATCGCACCATCTCCCCAACTCCCCTCTCTCCGCCGTTCACTCAACCCCCTTAGATTTGACAGCGCTTCACTCTTGCCCAGCAAACCTCCCAACGTCGTTATGAGCCCCTCAGACAAGTTAAGCATTGTCCCGCTCTTCGAGAATGAAATTCCCGTGTGCGCCGAGCTCCTCTCCAGAAGCTTCGGCCATGATGCACCGTTTGTGGATATCTACTTTCCTAACCATGATACGCCGTCGGGACAAGCGTCGGTTTCGAGCCGCTTGACAGCTTGGCAACGATCCTCCCTTGAGGATTCCGTTTTCTTGAAGGCAGTCATCAGGTCTAGCAAGGATAACAAGGATGGTATCATCGCGGGTTTTTGTATCTGGACCTTGATGAAAGAGCCCCCACCCGCAGAGCTGGCCAAGGTGGAGAAAGTTGACGAGGTTTGGCCAGACAAGGACGATCGCGAGTTCATGACTCGCTTGTGGAGCAAATACGTGATTCCACGCTCTGAAGTCATCAAGCGGTCCGCTGGTAAAGGAGTCTATGGTAAGGGAGTTCTCTTGGTGGAGATTCGGACGTGATTACTCACATTCCAATGTAGTGCTCGAGCTGCTAGCAGTGGATCCAGATCATCAGCGCTTAGGTGCCGGCACAGCCCTCGTCGCATGGGGAACCAGATACGCCGATGAGCTAGGAATCGAGGTAAGACATAAAAAAGGTTCCCCAATGGTGAATTATTGGTGTGCTATTAACTAACAAGTCGGTTTTGTAGTCAGTTGTTGAGGGCACTCCAGTGGGACGTCGATGCTATGAGAATGGCGGCTTTCATACAGAGATCGAGGAAATGGACTTTGATACTGGGGAAGAATTCAGTGGAAGGAGAAAACCTACTCTTCACTTCCTAACAAGACAACCCAACACGTAGGCCCGGCTACTTTTAACTTCATGCGGAGAAGGAGTGTGTATGTAATCATGCACAGACACTCAAGAATGTAAGGTCTAGCGGATCACTTGGATAGAAATCAACAATTAATGCCGTATTTGGCCACCTTAATATGCTGCCGAGCGTGACATACTGATCTCTAGCCAAAAGATCCAACGATGGATTGTGCCACATCTTGAGTACCTAGTAGAACAGCTTACAGGCGACGAGTTGCAAAACACAAACGAGGGTGGCGGAGCCAATGTCAACTCTTCTGGTAGCGCCTATGTAGAGTGATAAAAAGGTGTGAGTTGGGTAAGAGTGAGGTCACGTTTTCACCCAATTATATGCCTGCTTCCGAAATATGTAGGTATGTGATTGGATGATTTCGTGACCCCACCCTTGCCTCACTTACACTCATTTACCGCTCTACGCCTGTAGCTCAATCCAGGGATTTTGGTCTCTTGATATTGTCGATTCGGCATGAAACTGTACACGTGGGGCAATGAGAGTAATCATTTCCCCTTCTCGAACCAACCGCGGTGCCTGGCTGATTAGCTCATCAAACGCTTGCATCAAGCCTCAAGGCTCCGATTCTCCTACTATGAATAATGAGCTTACTCTCGACTCCTCTATATTATATACGTCGAGAGCGCATTTCAATTTTCCATAGCAACCAGCTTAATCTCAGTCCTTAGGAAGATTGGCTGGTGCAGCAAGATTCACTCATGTTTGCTCTGTAGTGTAGTGCAAGTCACGGGAGAGCGTGTGTGCGAGGTTTCGCTGGACAGGAATTTAGGCTGTCAGTAAGAACTTCCGATATTTTCAGCAATGTACAACTTTGAATGATCCTTGACTTTCATACATCTACTGTATTTATAAGCACATGATCGGTCAGACCTAAACCGGTGCGTCAGATATCCGAGTCCCGAGTGCTGACATAGCTGAGAAACATTCGCTCCGCCAATCAAGCCTCCAGACAATCCGAAACGACGGTCAGAATACGAGCCCCGACCTCTCGGAATCCGAATAGTACCAGATGGTTTCCCTCGCGAAAGACATAATCTGAGGTGTAGTGTTTCCGAATGAACGGAACACTGAAAGAAATACTTGCGAGACAAAGCCACATCCGAAAACAGACTGATTACGAACACGACAAAATGAGGGACGATAAGGCACAGACATTGCCCTCATGACGGCCAGATAAAGAAACACGCTTTCTACTTCCCTTCATTATTCAATTCACTATTACTTCATCCCCATCCAGGCTATTCCACGCTGTCTACCAAAATGGCACCCATCGCGCTGCTGCTTGGCGCAGGTCCCAACATTGGAGCCAGTACCGCGAAAGAATTCTCATCAAGTGGCTACCAGGTCGTTGTAACCTCTCGGAAAGCCCCCGCTGACGCGAATCCCTCGTACTCCTATGTGCAGGGAGATCTGTCCCAACCTGAGTCCGTCGAGAATATATTCTCTCATGTCCGCAAACTGCACGGAGAGCCAAGCGTAGTAGTATACAATGGTATTTGCATTCCAAGAAATCTCTCCAATGTTTTTAAAGTCGATAATTGGGCTAACGGTGTTGCGGACTAGCTGCCGGGTTCTCCCTTGCGGCAGCCGATAACCCTTTCGAGGTCGATCTGGCCACTTTTGAAGAACACCTGAATCTCAACACAACTAGCGTGTTTCTTGCCATCAAACAAGCGTTGAAATCTTTTGAAACATTGCCCGCCTCCTCCGCTCGCACCTTCATCTACACCGGCAATGCGATGAATTTTGCGCCGTTCCCCGGCCGCATGACGCTGGGCACTGGGAAGAGTGCCACTGCACACATGATCGCCTCTGCAGCTCAGGCTTATGGGCCAAAAGGTTACAAGTAAGAGAAGTCTAATCTTATCGCATGTCACGTTCGATAACTAAGCCCACATCAGGTTTTACTACGCAGACGAGAGGCAACCCAATGGCAAACTCGGTGGCCGTGGCATTAGTGGCGAAGCGCACGCGAAGTTGTTTAAGCAACTCGCCGAAGATGAAGCACAAGGCCCATGGCTTCAGACATTTGTCAGTGGCAAGGGCTACGTGAAGTTCGCGGCGGACACCGACGTTACACTCTGAGCATGGATGGACATGGAGCACATACGAGAGTTATTTGAATTAGTCTAACATGAATCTCAATCGATACTTGCCCGCCTCTTTATTTTTCCTGCACTTCTAATGTATCGTGTAGATTTTGATCACTTTTCACCCTGTCAAACAGAGTTTCTCGCTCCATTTATATCGCGCAATTGAATTGGGCGTATCAAATTTGCCACGTCACGGAGTAAGTTGGTAGGGTTATTAAATTCTTCGCTTCTCAAGGCACCACGGTTTATGCAAAAAGCTCCGCGAAACTTCATGACTTGAGGGAGATCAAATGGCACATGATAACTATGAGAATTCTGAACGCACGCGGCTCCAGGAGGATGTCCTAGAGAACGTGAAAGTAGCAATTCCGATCACGCATATCCACGGAAACTCGTTAGCGTCTCCGCAAACTAGTCATCATACCGGCTCAGGCATTGATAGTCCTGAGATCTACTATATGAATCGGTGGTTGAAGAAGCTGTACAAGCGAATGGATCCCAACGGCTTTACAGGTTTCTGCGTCATCTTTGATCAATCAGAAGATAACCTGACTATACGACGCCAAATTATCTCATCACGCAATTGGAGGGCCTTGCAGTACTGATCATGAAAGTAGTGCATTGATCTCATATTAAGGCCACCTGACACGAACGGCTAGTCGCTTCCAACCCCTTTATAACATTCCTTGGCAGTTCAAGAAGTCTAGAACCTTTCTGATACACGGTTTGATAACTTGAGGCAGCTTATCCTATTGAATTAGGGCTCAAATTCGAGCGATGGCAAACCCCAAAATACTGAAGGGCAAGAATTGATCACTCGCTCCGCCCTTGTTGTTGCGCAACTTTGGATATAACCATGCGGGCGACGACCAAATCATCCAACACGCGAACCACACGTACCCAACGAATTTCGTCCACCGTCTTTGACGTGGTACCGTGAAGCGGCGAAAAACAGCACCAACTGCATCTTCAAGTACGATACCTGCAGCTTGCGTGCAGAAAAAGCGCATAGAGCCACTTTGGCCAAGGTCGACGCCAGCGCCGTACTCTTCTGCAACGTGCAGGGCGCCGGATATGATCCACGACAGGAATAAATTGAGATATCGTCCAGTCAGACCACCTCGGCGCAAACGAAAAATGTTGTACGTTAAGAAATATGCCGGGCTGCCGATACGCTGACGGAATGTCTGGTGCCAAAAGCAGCTAATTTGTGAGATATATAGTCAGCCTTAGCTACGCCTAGAGGGACTCTAGCACTAGAGGCGAGGAGTTGTATGGACTAAATGAAGAGTTGAACATACCCCCAGAACCTACGAATCGAATAGATGTCGCTGAAAGAGCCCATGATGGGAGGCCATACTTCAACACCCGTCAAGTGTGTAGCGACGGCTACAATCGACAGGGTGCAGTACGTCATTTGCAGAACGCAATAAATGGACGTCCAGCCCACCAATGTGACCACAACTCTGATGATCATGTCTTCAGCTGAGATGGCGGTCCAGCGACCGAAGAAGCTAACCTTATTGTCCGCAAATATGTCGGCATGACGCTTGGGGTCCTGCGGAGCCATACTCAGGAAGTCTATGATGAGTACGCAAAGAAGGAACTTCTTTAGGGTATGAGTGAGAAACCTAGACCGGGATGGGACCACATTGGGGTTGTGCGGGTCGAATGCCGGTACGTTCTTGACCTGCCAAGGAGTGGCTGGAGCACGCCAGGCCGAGTAAGCAAAGAACCCCCATTTAAATCGCGTCCACAGACTATCAGTGTCAGTAGCGGTTGACGCAAGCTTTTCGCTGGCATTGAAAACATTCTGTGTGCCGCCACGTCGAGACGTCGGGCCCCCAGCTGCAAAGGACCACCGACTGATGAGAGCTACGTCCAGATATTGGCACATTGAAGCAACTGTGTTGATAGATACACAGCCAGCCAGCAGTTTGCTGGGTAAGCCGCCGCGGTTGAGAGGTAGGATTTGCAGGCTTAGCCATGCTAGAAGTGGGAAAATCGCAGGTCGTATCCACGAGTTTGAGGAAGAATAAGCGACAGTGAAGATGATCAACATAGTTTGCACAGCATTGGCTGCCAAGACCAACCAGATTGACATTGTGGAAAGGAATATGTGATGGGTGATGTCGTACGAATCGACTGATTTAAGCAATTATTGCCAACTGCAATGTTGTCCTACCACATTAAACGCGCTTTGTTCGTGCTGAATGATGTTCTTCATGTCCCGAGTCCCGAAGTCTCTCTCGGTGACCGACTATCTTCAGGCGATATTCTCATACATGATACGCAGCTGAACTAACTATTCGACCATGGTCTCGGCCTACCCATCGCTAATCTAGCATGTTACTGCGAAAAATGATAAACGAAAAGCCGGTTTGGGTTGGTTATCTCGGCATCGCAATAAATCGGACAACGAACATAAACCCGAGAAAGGGATGCGGCCTACTACACTACCTCGGGAGAATCGTTGTGTAGACTACTGAGACCCCGTAGAAAAATTCATATACTCCAGACTATAAGAGCGAGGTCTATGATGTTATCACCGCGTTTCTATGCGGCACAGAAATACAACAGCATCGATAAAGGAACATAGTAAAAAAATGATGCATACATTACGCAAATCAGCTATTTTCCTTTTGGTAGAAGGGTTCCCAACACGCCCTAAAAGCAATAATACGAATACGAGCTGAAAGAGCCGGATTGAAAGTATGAAGATCTCTCTCGTCGAAGCTGTCGATCAAAACGACCCCGGGAACCCAAACTCTGGCAGCGCGCCAACTCGGCAGCACAGCATTCGAAAGATCCCTAGACAAGCGAAATGGGTGCGTTGCTACTGGGATTGACTCAGTAGGTACACTATGTCTTGATCTGAAAATTGATGATTGTCTCAGCATTTTCACCCCTGCCATGTCAGTATGCTCTTTGTCGCACTTCCTCGGCGTGATCTGCATGCCAATTTCGATACCGTAACTTTCATGGTCATGATATGCCACAGATGTGGGTGAGATAGCCAGCCCTCTAGGCCTCTTATTTCAACTTGGTTTCTTTGGTCCTGTACTTGCTAGTATTTAGTGGGCTGCTGACTGTCCTACCGGGCTTTGATTGATCCTAAGCTCAATAGCTACTGGTGTGCGCGCTCTACTGATGGCTTTATACTAGGCAATTGCAGCAGGCTGCTAAGCTTGCAAAAATAGCTATGGATGCGGACTTGTATCTACGGTAGATGAGGTAGACATCTACAACGCATGACTACTGATCTCTTCGTTGTTTGGTTCATTTCTTTCAATCCAGCCATGCCAGGTAGAGTATTCTATTCATTTCTTTTCAAGAGTTGGCAAACTCTTCGAAAAGACCTACATTGCATAGGATTGGCCTTATTGCCCATTCGAACTCGTGCCGCCACGGGATTTGAGCCAGCCGCTCGGGACCGGACTCCCACCCTTCAAATTTCTAGTAGCTATTCACAAGTTGATCTAAAGCCCATCCGCATTGCTCAAGCACTATCATAGTATAATTCCACCGGCTTACTTTAGTTCGGAATGAAATCAACTATCACTACTGTCTGAATCGGATGAACCCCCGCTCTGCTCATTTTCAGAGATTTCGTGCTTCTTACTTTGCGTACGATGTCCAGTTTTCCCAGTTTTTCCTTTGGATCGCGACCGACTCCCACTCCCGTGCTTCTGGACATTGACTGGTGGTCTCAACCTTTCTGCGCTCTGTTTTTCCAAGTTTCTCAATTTCTTTTTTATCTTCCTCTCTTGAATTTCTGATTCGGAATCTGTGCCTGATGTTTCACTTTCCGCGGAGGTCACCTCATCTGCCCAATCTCCGCGTACAATATCCTTGGCCCTAGGGACTGCCCGAAACGGCGCTGATTTCCATTCGTCAGCTCTAAGCTTTTGACTCTTCGCCTTTTTTGTTTCATCTCCGACATGAACATCATATAGATATTCGTCAAATTGTATCGAGGCTTGACCAATAGTCTCAAAATGTCGGACTTTGATTCGGGGAGACTTGTCTGTGCTGGGTCCTACATCGAATCTCGCAAGAGCCAGTGCTGTCTGAAAGGCGTTTTGAATTTGCCTGCCGTTCCATCGGAGCGTGTCGTAGTTTTCTTCGGCAAACTCGAGGATGCGCTGTTTGTCGTATTTGATGGGAGGTTTGCCAGGTGGCATGCTCTCGTTCATTATTTTCACTCGGCGAATATTCATAGCCCATATCTTTTTCGACTGTTTTTCATCCAGTTTGGGGTAATAGAGAGTCAGGTGAATACGAGATCGGAAAGCGTCGTCGAAAGCCCCAACTCGATTTGTTGTCAGGAAAAGGATTCCTGAGTAGTACTCCAGCACTCGAAGAAATACTGAGACAAGGCCATTTCTCTTTACATCAAACTTGTCTCTTTCAGCAAGAAAGACATCTGCTTCATCTATTAGAAGAACACAACCCCACCTGTGAGCTCGTGTGAATATGAGCTGAAGTTTGGTTTCCACGTCAATGGGCTCATACCCTATATCTCCACCGGTGATTGGAAATAGAGGGCGGCCCGTATAGGCGGCGACGCATTCGGCTGTGGAAGTTTTTCCAACACCCGGTACTCCATGTAGAAGAATGATGCATCCTTTGCCTTTACCCTTTACTAGGCCAATATCTTTCTCTGAGTTTGAGCCTTGGAGGTTTGCAGTGTGTGTCTGCACCATGGACTGCACCATAGATCGATGAGCCTTGGGTAGGATGAGATCATCCCATCCACTGCTGACGTTTCCGTAGTCGACATTTTGAAGCAATGCCAGGTCAAAGTGCTCTGTCGTGTAACTATGTTATTGACATATCTTAGCCGTTGATCAGTCAAGCTACTTACTCCACTTCCGATCACGCAGAGCAAACCCCGTGATGCTGCCGATGATGAGTTCGATAAGTCCTTGTTTTTCCAAATCCTCTATGATTTCCTTCAGTCGGGAATCGGATTTTTTCAAGGAGTAATCATCCAAATGATCCTGTATCTTCTTCAAGACTTCGAACGACTCATCTCGATCAAAGACCACATTTTCGTCCTGAAGATGTTGAGGTTCACCATTGAAAATTTTGACAACTGGCATCTCCGGTACCGTCCGGGAGCTGACCTTCGAGAAAAAATCATTCGTCGAGGAGAATTCACTTAATCCTTCCCGTACCGCTTGCTCAAAGTCTACTATCAGGGGACCATCGAACTGTACAAGTAAGAAAAAGTAACTTGAAAGATACTGTTATCTCACCTCTTCATAATCAGGACCCAACGTGAGACCCCTGTATTGGAGGTGGGAGATGTTTGTGTACGTGATGTACTGTTTCCCTCGACTCGCGAAATCTACTCCGCTAGTCTTCCGACTATTTTCTGTCATTGGATATACTTCCAATGAAGTGATCTCCATGAGACGTTCGTAGGGTTTGATCGCGAAAACTTCTGTGTTGGTTGTCCATCTCTGTCCCTTATACGTCAACATGTAGCAGTAAACGTATAGAGGGGCGTATCTGCTCTTGTGTGATGTGTTCTCAACCTGATCTTGACGATCGACCATCTCAGAATCCACCATGTCGACAATGTTAGCTCCCTCTTTCTTCACTCTAGGTACGTTCTCGGTCTTAGAGCGTATCAGCTTTCCCCATAAAGGAACGCCACCATGGCGGGTTAATACCCGAAATGCTTGGGGAACGTAATAACTCCCGCTGACGTAGTCTACAGCATCTTTACCAACACCAGTTGAATAGATGTATTCTCCCTGCTTTCGTTTTGGACAGACAATCATATCATCCCGCTCGAAGAGCATCCATAGGTCGTCAAATGCTACGTGCGTATGTGATCCAGCTCTCAATGACGAATATAAACGTATCTTCTCTCCCAGATACCTATCCAGAAAATTCACGATCTCTTTAAAATGAGGCAAAGCTTCTGCAGATTCCCACGGGTCCTCTGCGGCAGCTGGGGAAGATCCCAAGTGTTCGGTCTCCGTGGATGGCGGATCGGTGCCCTTATCTTGTTCGTCGGTCACATCTGAGAACGTTTCATCACCACCAAGTCTAATAACAGAATCAGCACAGGCCTGCGTCTTGAATAAGTTCAGGCAGTGTTGGGAAACGAAACAGAATCTTACGGATAGAGTTGCGTAAGAGAGAGAAGCTTATCCTTAATCGCGGTCGCGTTACGAATCAGAAACGAGAACGGTTTCGTCATTCGAACCATATTGTTGGTGTGAGCAGGATAGCCTGCGAGCTTCTCAAAGAACAGAGCTAAAGGCTTCGAACATAATCGCAGTGCTAATATCTCCGTTTCAGGCTTGAGGACCCATTCTGATGACTTTCTAGTGGCATCATCCACTTGCGTCTCACAAAGCACGGTGAGAAAGTGTCTTGGCTCAGATTTCAAGCTGAAACTTTTGCGCTCTTCCCATCGTTTGTCGGCTGTGATGTCCACAAAGTCTGCTGCCAACTCCTCATCGCAGGTACAAAAGACGGTCTTGAAGTCCGCTGGACCCGAAGTATTGCCCACGCTGGGATCGGCTCCTTTTGCTTCATTCTGGGTGTTTGTCGTTACCTGAGACTCTAATTTCCGCATTCTATCTTCGATATCACGCAGATAGTCGCCAATTCCATAAATCATTTGCGCTGTTGTGTCGACCTTCCTCACTTCGCTTGTCGCATTCAATCGTAGTCTTTCCATGTAGATATCGAGAATCTTCGAGGTGCTACTGACGCTGGCAATGGACTTGACCTCTTCATTTGAAAGATCGGCGTACGGGTTTCCAGCAATCAATTTCGCTTCCTCTTCCAGCACATCGAAGGGTTTTTCAGGGGCATTTTGATCAGTGTCTTCTATGTATTCGATTTCTTTGCCGACAGGCTCATCGGGAGAGACTTGATCTGGTAGATTCGTGACCTCTGCGCCTACATGTTCCATTGTCGTTTCTACCGGCCTTATGATCTGCTCTGGATCATCACCCATGGAGGCACCAGCACCCGGCCCTATTCTATCATCAGTCCCCCCCTTTTTTTGAAAAATCACTGAAGCAAACGAATCGCAGATCGAATCATGGGCCACAAAACTCGATGATTCGGTACTGCGATCGATTGCGAGCACTTACTGCTGGTTTTCTCATCAGCTACAGACATTATTTTGAGAAGATAGCTCTCGCACGAGTAACCTTTGTAATGTCAAGGCGTCATGAGCGATCTGAGGGAAGATCGTTGGCCACTCAAAGTGAGCAGATGCACGTTCTTCCAAAGCCTTCCAGTGAAAATTTGCGGTTAGTGATGAATTTGAACTTGTAGTTGAAATATGTTGTCACATTATTAGTATCGAAATGCCCCTCTTTGAATGTTTTCGTAGGTCGCATTGGCGTCAGCGACATTGTCGCCCCTGATTGGTTTAGTGGTATGGATGGACCCAAATATCGGTCAGCCTTGTGGATTACACGAGTACTTGCAGAATCCCCGGGTAAATGTACGAATAGAACTGCTTGCAAACCTTGGCTTAATTGAATACGAGACAACAATCAAAAACCTGGTTGTTACTGGTTCTCGCGTCCAGCGCACGCATGAGTCTCCCATGTGAACGCTCTAGTATCTTGCCCTCGCCAGAGATTGCGGGTCAGCTTGGATTATGTAAGTTGCGCAATGCCTTCGGCTCTGTGAAGTCGGCAAAGGACTCCTTGAAACCTTGTAGTCAGAGATGTTTACCATATGAAGCCTCAGTCAACCGCATCATTCTACATCTAAATCGCCATGACACACGAAACATCCACAGCTGTCCGCTTGAGACTGCTCTCGAATGGCGCCGCGGAGTATTTGGAGACCAGAGCACACGAGAGTCTGGGACTGGAGCTGGCGGGGTCTGAGAGTCTTCAATATGAGCCGCTTCGCGACCGTTTCATAGCAAAGGATTTTGCGCTAAGGTATGCCAAAATGCTCCCCGAGAACCTAATCATTGACTTCATTGTAGAGGAAAAGACCAAAATACGCAATCCAAAGAAAAGCTGAAAGACTTGGAGTCAACGCTATCACGATTCGCAAAGATACTGAAAGAGAGGGGCTGCGACGATCAACTCGGCATAGTTCTGAAGGAGCCTACAAACTATCAACTCGAAGACGTCCTTTCCGTTACAGAATCTATTCAAAAGAATTACCGTGACGCTGAGAATGTCAAAACCACCATGGGTGTGATTCGAAAATTCTTTCGGAAATCAGGGGAGCATCATGGGCAACTCAGTCGACTACTTAAATTTGTTCCGAATGACAATTACGGCGCAATCATCTTGGGAGGCTTCACGTTGATCATAGGGGTAGATGTCTTGCCCACGTCCAGAGAAACATCTTCGCTAATCTACCGCAGGCAGCCGGGCGAGCGGACAAGCTCCGCACAGTAATATATGAAACTCTCGCCAAGATTCCTCTCAAGCTCAGTGAAGTGCAAGAACTAGCGGAAGTTCATTATCGATCAGGGATTCTGCAAATGCATGCTGATGCCGTTTTCGTGTCCATCTTTGTGACCTTGGAAAAAATCGTCAATGAATTGACAAAAAATGTGGCGAGTATGTTTTTAGGGTCAGACTATCACGCGTGTCATGTTGACGGTTCCTATTTAGAAAAAGGGATTTCGCTCTTATTCAAGGGTGATAGGCACGGTTTTGATGTCACAGAAGCGATTCAGGCTGTCGAAAGTAGCCTCGAGGAATTCAGAATACAAGTCGGCATATGCTCTGAGCAAAGATTTGGCCGAATGGACATGAAGATGACTAGGTCAATGCTCGCTGCAGAAAGCTGTGAGGAGAAGGCAAGTGAAATGGTCTCTGGACTTGCTGGTATGACCCATTTGACGCCAAATGCCTCATTGGAACTCACAATATTGGTGAAGGTCTCAGTCAACAGGTGGTCAGCCTTAGCGAGCAGCTGGAAGGCTTCAAGAAAAGGCACGCCGAAGCGAAAGAGACACACAAACAATTGTTTGAAGCGGCAGAACAGCCGAGCCCCCTACGTTTATCCGATGGGACTCAAGAGGAAGAACAAAAAGAGATTGTGGGCTACTCAAAACTTCAAGTCGATGTTTTCAACCACATATACATGCTGCTAACCGCTAGTCCTGCATTTGATTCTAATACAGGCAAAAGTAAGTACATCATGTATTATGAAGACGGAAAGCCTGACTGGGTTTAGTTGATCTCCAAAGGGCATTGGCGATGAGGACGGAACGCGAATCTGCCGCGGCTAGACGGAATCACAAAGCTGTATCAGCCTTGCTCAGACTTCTCAAACCCACCTGCACCACCGTCGACAGTGATCTCAGGGAAGCTTTTGATGGAGCTGGCACGATGAGTGCAGGCGATGTGGAAAAGATTCAATTCGCATTAACGTCTGATGCAATGTATCGGTGGCTCAAGTTGCCCCGCTCGAACGTGCTGTTGGTCGAGTGTCAAACATTTCCAGTCACGATTCCGAACCCAATTACGTATGTGACGGCATATCTTACCAAGATGCTACGAGAGAAAGAGTACCCAACTACCGCATTCTTTTGTGGATTACAGGCCAATACATCAATGGACAAGCGGAAGTCTGGTCCCATTGCACTTATCAAAAGCTTGCTGGCACAACTGCTACTTGAGGTCGAGAAAAAACGGCCGACAACACATATCGCTCAAACGAGAGCATTTGTGAAAAATGGCGAATCGCTTAAAGACGTTAACTTTGTTTTCGATTGTTTACACCGCTTTTTGTCCTTGATCGACAGTCCTACTGGTGGTATATTCATACTCATTGACTCGGCTGTGTATCTCACAGGTTCTGACGCCGAGAATAGTGAGATTCTTCGATTGCTGTTGAGTCTAACGAGGGATTCAAAGCTTATGGTAAAGATTCTTATCACTGGAGTCTTCTCTGTCACTACCGTTCATGGTTTGGCATGTGAAGTGTTATACGTTCCAGACGATATACCCGGTGGTGGTATTGGGTTTGATCCTAATTTTCTGGAAGAAAGTATGCTGGAATCGTTTGGGGAATTTGAGCTGCTGGAAGACAACGAAGAAGAGAAGTCATGATTGAGGGACATAGATCATCATCATCTGCCTTTGACATGCTGGGGATGAATGATCACATCTGTACTATCACGTACTAAAAGTTGTCCTGAACAAATCAGGACCGATCATGAGATTGAGACACTGTACCCACTTTTGAGAACAACGTATTTTTGATTGCGTTCATTCATCTCATGATGATGGAATTTTCTAGTTGATATCTTTGTGGGCTCTTGACGTGAAATGAGGATCATGGTCTAAGACGGATAAGTGGTCTTGCACTGCAAGATTTACATTAGCCTTGATGCGTTGTTCTAGTTGTATAACCCAGATTTCAGTACGTCCTGATAGAACGCGGTATTTCGCTAGCATGTTATGCTCTTAGCTACGAGAAAAAAAAATGTATTCGAAAGCGCGCCAGAACACGTGTAAGAACGGCGTAGTCATAAGCACAGACAAGAAATGCCGGTCGTCAAAACAGTGTGATCCCTGCAATAAAGAGCTAACTAGGCGTAGGGCTATTGTCTATACAAAAGATAGTCTGGAACTACATATGTATGGTAATTCCGACTCGATCACGTGCCAGATCACGTGACTGTGTCACAATGCTAAAATCGGGTAACAAGTCCGTCTGTTCACATCTGATTAGTGATACGTCGTGCAGTTGAACATAAGACGCACTGCTCGCACGAGGTTTAAGGGTGTAACTCTTGTTAAGTTCGGGCCTGTAGTTATGTCTGGTTGCCAGAAGTACGGCGACCCTTTATCAACTATGACTTACCTAGGTAGGTTATGAATAGTTAGGTCTATTCTATGACTATCGCATTTCATTAATGATATAATTAATCGGTAGGATTGTTAGGAATGTTAATGCTATCTGCTGTTACGTCTAAACTATGCTCTTGAAGTATACTATATTTCCCCTAGAATTAACATCCATTTTCTATAATTACACAAGACTTATTTCTTTGAATAAAGTAATTTATATTATATAGAAGTTGCATATTTACATGTTCAGCGGGGCAGACGAGTATACAGAAATAGTAGAGGGGGACCGGATGAGATAATGGCAACATCGAGAACACACAACTGGGGCTGATTTAATACAACAACTGAACATCACTATGAGACTAGCCTTCAGTCCTGGTAACCACAGAGTAGCATAGACCTGTTTTCGCACAATCCCTCTGTTCCCGCCCCTGCAGCGGACGTGTTGTGTCGTGATTTCAAGTGGGACTGACTTTACGGTGTAAATTCTTATTGAATCCTCGATTATCTGCAGAGATTTAGATAAAATGCGTAAACTAACCCTAAATCATCCTAGCTCCCAGTAGATCAGACCACAAGACTTGGTCATAAATCATCCCTTATGTTACAATAATAGCGGTATGCGACGCAAGACATTGATATTCTCCTACTGCATTGAAGTAAGATAACTGAGCTACCCAGTGAGGTAGTACTGCAGGCACTTGATGTCCAGAATATCCCTTTTACAGTATGTACACAGTGCAGCTTATCCGCCAAGTGAATAACCGAAGTACCGGGGGCATACGAAGAATTTTTGGCCCCAGGTAGCTTGTGCGCTTACCTACAGGTACAGGGGCGCTCTTGCGAGGCACACCCACGACAACGAATAGAGTCCCGGTAAGACGGTTTGCCTTTCTCCTTTCACGCCACAGGAGGGATCACGCAAACCTTCCTATTTGCAATAACGAATATAGCTACAATTGATATGCGACGAAGTGAAATTTTCCCAATTACCTGTCAATCGCGAAAATCGATGGAACCAGGGAACAGGGGGGTCACTTTGTCGATTTCATGTTGTCTTGTCTGCTTCCTACTCAATCTCGATCCAATCCGAAAGCAGTCCACTGCAGCATGAGAATCGGTGTAGGTTGAAGGAATGAACGATGGTCAGCCTTGTTCAAGCTGACTAGTACGGATTTGCCTAGTCCTACTCAGCGTGTTTAATCTCACGCCCTAACGTGCTTACTTCCGGGGTTGCGGAAGTTGATTGGGGTATTCAACAGGCGAAACAGCATTTCGATTCACGCTGAAGCCTAATCAACCCGTCTCAACGCTCAACCCTAATATGACAGGATGGGGTAGTGACCACTGTTCTCGCATACTGTTGACCGATTCGTTGATATGACCAATCTCATCCTCCAATTCGGGTGTACCTAGAAGGCTAATATTGCAGTTGCGTTCCTCCGACCCACATCACGAACAAGGAAGTACTTATATCTGCTGCGCTTGCATTAATCAAATTTTTATATCTATCCAAGTTTCCCCCAACTTTTGTCTGTATCTTAATTCATTACATCACTACATCATGTCAAGCCCTGCCCAGAGCGTCAACTCCTCCAAGTGTGGTCGTCCACCCAACTCCGCTTACATAGAATTGATGAAGCCCAACGAAGACTGGAGAACCATGGAAGATGCTACAGAAAGGAGAAGAGTTCAGAACCGTCTCGCACAGAGGGCCTACCGTGGGTTTGCTATCTCAATTCAAATTGGACGGATTTGACACTAATAACGGTTTCCAGGGCGCAACCTCCGGGACAAAAATACGGAAGTGCAATTGCTCAAGCAACAACTCCAAAGATATCGCGATTCCAATGGTGGCAGCCCTGGGTCCCATTTCAGTCCATCTCCCTACCAGAGCCCCAGTCCGGTTTGGATGCCTTCCAACACAAGCAGCTGTGACAGCAGTTTCAACGACCAATGCCTCCAGAACAACAAAAACAATGATAATGGCATCCAAGTTTCCGAGGCCAATAGCGATCATCTATTCCAAAGATCAGCTGCGATTCCAGACGCACATAACAACGATGCAGTCCATGACCATACCAACAACAACATGGAGTCCGATCGCTCAGGCTCTAGCCGCTGGACAGACGGTTACATGTTCATGGAACCTGACGAACCAATTCACAGTCCGAATACATCACCGGCAGACGACACCCTTTCCATGGCAAATTTTCCCTATACCAACACTGGTATCATAGAGTTAGCCCACCCATGCACGACAGCAAACTATCACACAAACACATGGTACGAAACGGGAGAACAATCAAGGATACCTATGACTTCACCTGACTTGGTTCACGAACCAGAGGAAGCTGTGGCAGAATTCACGTCTTGTGTCCCTCTCGGTGTTTCGGCAAATCTAGAGCGCCCTGATTGCGTAGAAGAAAATTACCACGTGGAATCTGTCTCTGCCATGCTCCCATTCTCGCTGCCGCCAGTTGCAAGCTCCAAGAGGAAACTGGAAGTTCCTGTGGATTCCAGCGCGTCACTCCTTCATCTCGCGGTTGCGAGTGGCCAGTTGGAAACAGTGCGACTAATTATAAAACACGAGGACCATTTGACCATGGAACGAGATAGCAGGGGCTACACACCTATTCAGATTGCGATTATGTCTGGACAGACAGAAATAGTGAAACTGCTCTTAGAACACGAAGGGAGCTCTTAAGCTTCCCATTTAATTGTAATATATATTTTCAATTTAATTGTAAAACATTAAATAGAACGTGAAAATACTAGGAAAGTCCAAAGTTTGGTTTCTCCCCAAGGCGCTTTGTACTGAGACGCAAGTTTGCGGAGTTTACTTGATAATATTTCCTTGGAATGACATCCTTAACATCGGGGATCTCCAGATTGAGCTATCAGACAAAGCTTTGACACCCAAATCAAATGTATATCTTGTGATGTAGGAACGTCACACGTGACTAACAATTGTTCATGTGAGTCAAGCAGGAGTTAACTGTTAGCTAATTGAGAAGAAGTCAGCCTTACGACATATTTGGCGGGAACAACGGTGGGATGGTGCTCTGAACTGAAACCCGAAGTACGGAATGCGGTTCAAGGCTGTGATTGGATATGCAGCTGCAATCCATATACGTAGACCGTGTGTAGTCTGACCCTCGTCGGTATCATCGCTTAGGTGATTGGTCAGTTGTTACCAATAAGGCTTTGTTCGTTCAACTTAGAGCTTGGTGACAATGAACTAGTGAATATGTTTTGAGATACCTATAACTTTATTTTGAAATTTGCGGATAACACGCCATGTTAGTTAATACTGGCTCGGAAAAAGAAAGTTTTCTCTACGTCAAGCGCCGCAATCCTTTTCTTTCCATCAACAGTACAGTCTTAATCATATTTCGGAAATGATATGTTCTTTGGCATAAGTTGTTTTGCTATTCTAAGACCCGTTACCTGGCCAAGGTAATAGTAGGAGTCTCGGAAAGCAGCATCATATGAGTGCATTGCAATCCTACCGTCACTCGACGATCATCGGACTAGCGCTTTCGTCCCCCATGGCCCATGCGAAGATCACTCAAGGTTGAAATCCTGCGATATTTGTAGTAAGTTCTTTTGTCAGCTCGAACCATCCGCCCCGACCACCATCTTGCTTCTTCTTGGCACCCCAACCAGCCCCCGTCAGATCACGACGTATACCCATGCTTATCTCTCACGGCCTATAATACAGAGTCCTTATATTTCAGAATATAAAGATATGGAATTCGGAGCGCCAGAGTGAAGACAGTCCATCAGAACGGGTTTGGTACGATACTGGGAATGCTTCCAAGATTTCGCGGATACATGATGGCGATTTGTGTCAAGTCGTCCACCGAACATTCCAAAGTTTCAGGACATCAATAATTCTCAATAGCCGATGGTCGGCAATCTCTCAACTGCTGGTCCAAATTGGAAGCGCAGTCTCCTTTGTGGTATCATTCAGAAATTAGATGCCAGATTGATAAACGAGAATCATGAGCGTTATAGAACAAGCGATGATCCAATAGTAGACTTGATCTAGTAACTCGTGATCGATTATCTTCGAGGAGACATGTAAATGCTTCTGCATTACTAGCGTAGCCCAATATGCGCAGTATGTAATAACATGGTATGCCTGTTCAAAGGTTGAAGGAAACGGACTAGAATGAAGAAGTAACATCAAGATGTCATGTAATTCCCTGCAACAGAGCGACACACGTATTCTCCTCATCGTACTAGTGATCTTAGGCTCGCGCCGCATCTGGATGCAATGAGTAACGACCCGGATGAATTATTGTAGACTTTTGTGCTCCATCTGGATGTGGCATCGATAAGAGTACGATAATGCATTGATCAGTTAGAGCACTTGGAACCGCACATAACCATCATCGTTCCTATATTTTGTGTTATATCTCGACTGAGCCCACAATGGAGGCCCATATTCATGAATTCATGATACTCTACCATTCCAACTACCATTGGATTCATTCTAGAAGGCGCACAATTTCATGTTTTTCCAATTTCCTGGCCAGATCCAAAGCCGTTACGCCAACTGCGTTCCTATACTCCTTCGAAGCACCATTATTCAAGAGAAAACTAATCGTTTCAACGTGCCCGCCTTCAACCGCACAATGCAGCGCTGAGCCCCAGCTCTCACTTTCTTTGTGACATGGGAGTGTGGTGTATTCTCCATAGGGGTGTTCGTTTATGTCAGCACCGTGGTCCAGCAGCATTTGCATGATTCCTACATTGCCAGAAGACGCTGCCTCGAGAAGCGCTTTGGGAGCTTTCTCCAATGTTGCGCCATGCTTTAGCAAAAGCGCTACCATCCTCTCATCGCCGTTATAGCTAGCGTGCTCCAAGGGATTACTGCCTGTCTGCTGAGTTTCGTTCGCGTCCGCGCCCCTCGACAAGAGGTGCGCAGCCACTTTCAGACAAGCTATATCTCCATTGGGATACTCTGAACCGACTTCTGCACAGGTCACCGTGAAACTGTTTATGTTTTAGCTGCTATATCTATCTAGGAGACTCAAGAAAGGGGCTTACACGAGAGCATTGCCGACATGTTCGTAATGCTCGTTGATATCCCAGCCGTGCGCCAGCGTCACGTCTATGGCTTGGACATTCCACCCATTATCTTCCCGTGCCCCATCCAGCACATCGCCGATAGTTCCATAGTTCCATCTAGCACCGCGCTTGAAAAGCTCGTGGGCCATATCGGAACGGCCGAGCTCCATCGCTTTATTGAGGACATCGCCCAGACCACCCCGTTGGAAAGCTTGCGGGTCTTCTGCCAAACGCTGATCTAATATACTTTGGAGTAAAGTGGTCTTTTCGGATTCAAGAGCAGCGATCGCTCGTTCCACGAGGCAATCGTCCTCGTTGCTTGTGGGACCTGCCATTTGATGATTGAGAAGGAACGAGTGTTTGGAGCGACGCCAAACTTCGAGGTCGATATTTGAGATAATAGTGCGGTATATTCGTGATGATGATAGAATCGAGTGAAAGGAAATAGGGGCGCTTGGTTGACTGCACGCGTCGTTTACGTTGTTGTCCTCAGCAGGCGAAACATAAAGCTAAAAATAGTAGGGGATTTACCGTAACGTAGTTTACAAGCGAGCGGCCACTACAAGCGAGCGGCCACCCCAACCAGCCTTCATAGCTATCTACGCATTAAGTAACAATGGCTCAACAACTACATACTCAAATTACTTGTAAAGAAGCAGATATCTCTTTAGCTATATTAGCAATTAGTTAAGATAATTCGCTAAGCGTAAAACGCGCTGCTTCTACTTTTAAATGCCTACAAACAACAGTACAACAACGACGCGCTGGAATCGCTGCGCGACGCAATGTTGAGATCTTGGAGAACTCTGGTTGGGTTTCGCGGATGACTAGCGGGTAACACTGAAGTAACAAAGGTAGAAGTATAAAGTAACAACTAGATTGTATTTCCAAGAAGTGGGTTGTAACTTAGAGTGAATACAAGAACCATAAGGTCTTCTTGTCTACTGACTATATACATATTTTGTCCCATAGTTCCCATATGTCCCATAGGGTTTCATAGATGGGATATCGTGGGATCTCGTAGGACCCTGTGGGACACACGTGACTTGTCCCACAGCAACTTTCCGCCAAGACTCGTGGGACCACGTGACGTGCGGGGTGGCGAAGTCTATTGGTTCATACGTAGTGTCCTGTTTGCTGACCGTGAGTGTTCTTGTAATTACCTTCCTTCATAACCTGTGCATCCCCATTCTTAGGTTCGTAACACTACCCCCTTCTTCCAAGTTCTTGTCCTCATGAACTGACCTCATGGTTTCCAAAAGCACCGCTCATCGTCACGCCACTGGGGATCGGATAAACGCTGTTGGACAAATCGCCATGGTATCTTGTCAATATTGTTCGAAAAAGGGTTTGGAGTGTCGCATGTCTTCTTTGAAGAAGGAGTGTGGGAATTGCTATCGCAATGGCGTAACGTCGTGTGTTCCTGTGGAGGTTCCGCCTCCCAACTTCGAAAAACTGGACCGGGAACTGTTGCGTCTCGAGCAACAGGAGTCAGAAGCGGACGCAGCCGAGGCAGCAGCGTTGGAGGCCCTGGTTGCGGCGCGAGCGAAGAAGGACCGTCTTCGTAAACAGAAGAAAAGACTTAAGCGTCGTGAGCAGCAACTGATGGATGACTCAGGAAAATTCGTTGAAGAAATTGAAGCTCTTGAGGCGTTGGAAGGACTCAACAAGGACGTGGGCAACCTTGAGGATGGGTTGATGCCTGGTACCCTGGCTCTGGACTGGAGTTCGTACATGCCCTCTGTTTTGGAGGGTGATCCGTTATTTGACGAGGCCGTACTGGCTTCTTGAGGTTAGTTGTTCTGGATCAGCGGCGGTCTCCTTTTCCTGTTGTATTGTTTGATTTTTTGCTGACAGTTCGCCAGGTGTGCCTCTGGTTCCCAACTGTTGTCCTCGTGTGGGTATCCCTTCCATTTTACCAAATATTCTTTCCTTCCGCGGTCTAACTTGCATTGTAGTATTCTTTCGACTTCGAATTCGTTTTCTTCTTCTGTTTCGTAGTGGAATGTATTTTGTAGTGGCGTTCCGGGGTTCGCAGGTTCCAGCAGCGCTATGTGGAACACTGGGTGTATTTTTGCATCTTCTGGGAGTTGGAGTCGGTAGTTAACTGGGCTGACAACAGCATCAATTAAAAATGGTCCGACTTTGACGTGGTCCAACTTTTTGCTTGGTCGTTTTGTCCGAAGATTTTTTGTTCGCAAATATACTCTATCCCCCCTTTTTAGCTGAGGTGCCATTTTTCTTTTCTTGTTAACATATGAGATTGATTGTTGTTGTGCTTTTCGCATGTTTTCTTCCAGTTTTTTGTATGTCTCCTTGTATTGTTCTGCGTTTTCTAACGCTTTCTGTGTTTTTATTGTTGGAAATGTTTTTTCAAAGAGATTTGGATGTCTTCCGTGGTTTGCGAAGTATGGTGTTTCGCCTGTTGTTTCTGATAACTTGTTGTTGTATACCAACTGTGCCATAGGCAATAAGGAAATCCAGTTGTCCTGGTTCTGGTTGCTGTATAGCCGTAGGTACGTAATCATGGTTTGATTCGTACGTTCTGTTTGTCCGTCTGTTTCCGGATGGTAAGCTGTTGATAGCTTTCGTTTCGTTCCGATTGTTGCCATCAGTGTCGTCCAGTAATTGGAGGTAAAGAGCTTGTCTCTGTCGCTGATGATTGTCTTTGGTATCCCGTAGTTTCGTACTAACTTATCTAGGATAATATGTCCTAACTGCTCGGCTGAGTAGTTCTTATGGAATGGAATCATAAGTGCGTACTTAGTGAATCTATCCACGATCACAAGTATCGAATTGTACCACACTCTTGTGACAGGGTCCTGTGATGCAGGGAATCCTGTTACGAAGTCCATAGCAATATCTTCCCATGGTGTCGTAGGCACCGGAATTGGTTGCATTTTTCCGTACTTTGCGTGTGTATCATGTTTATTCTTCTTACATTCGTTGCAAGCCTGAATGTACTGTGTGACTTTCTCTTTCATGTTCGTGAAGTCGTAGTTTCTTCGTATATGTTCCATGGTTCGTTTAATTCCTGGATGTCCGTATAGTGGGTCGTCGTGATGTTGGCGTATGATGCGTTCTTGCCATTCTTCTGGTACATCGTTGGTAATTTGCATGGTAACATTGACTTCCTGGAAATGACTTGGTCCTATGGTTCCGTCCTGGTTTGTCTTAAGTATCGCTTGTCGTACTTCCGTTTTCTCGCCTGCGATGTCCGTTCGTCGGCTGAGAGCGTCAGCTCTTCCGTTATCTTTTCCTGGAGTGTGTATGATCTTGAACTGGTATTGTCCTAATTTCTCGGCCCATCGGACTTGTCGTCGATTAAGGTCCTTTGTGGTCGTGAAGGTGACAAGGTTCTTGTGGTCCGTGAAAATTGATAGTTCAGAACAACTTTCGCAGTAAATTCTCCAATGCTGAATTGAATCGACAATAGCCATTAATTCTTTATCATAGACATCGTAGCGTTCTTCCGTTGACGTGAACTTTCTTGAGTAGTAAGCAATAGGGTGCCATTTTCCATCTTTTTCTTGTGTGATGCATGCTCCTAATGCGAGATCCGAAGCGTCGGTCTCCATTCTCATTGGTTTTCCTGATTGGAACATGATTAGTACTGGAGCAGAAGCGCATGCTTCCCGAAGTTTCCGGAATGCGTCGTCTTCTTCTTCGTTCCAGCGGAAGGTTTCCTCCTTCCTCGTAAGTCGTGTGAGTGGAATCGAGATCCTAGAGAAGTCCTGGATAAATCTTCTGTTGAAGTTGCAGAATCCCATGAACGATTGTACTTCTTTGATGTTCTTTGGTGTGGGCCATTCTTTGACAACTTTGACTTTCTCTGGGTCTTGCTCGATTTCTCCTTCCCGGATAACAAATCCTAGGAACTTGACTTGTTTCGCGTGAAACTCGCATTTCTCTGGTCGTACTCGTAGGTTTGCTTCTTGTAACTTTTGGAGCACCCAATGCACATGTTTCTGGTGTTCGTGTTCGTTCTCTGAGAACACTAGAATGTCATCTAGGTACGCTATGACGGTAATGTCTAGTTGATCTCTAAGGACGTTGTTCACAAGTGCCTGAAACGTTGCTGGTGCATTGGTGAGTCCAAAAGGCATAACCGTATATTCGTAATGTCCATAACGAGTGCGGAATGCGGTTTTCCATTCTTCGCCTTTCTTCATTCGTACCAGATGGTACCCGTCTCTAAGGTCCAGAGCTGTGAAGATTTTGGCCTTCGCAAGTCGATGTTGTAATTCTTCAATATTAGGTAATGGATACCTATTCTTTACCGTGTTGTCGTTGGTCTTGCGGAAGTCTACACACATTCGTAGTTTCCCATTCTTTTTATTTACAAAGAGGGTCTCGTGTGCTACTGGCGACTCCGATTCTCGGATATGTCGTTTAGCCAGTCGTTCTTTGATGTAATCTCGTATAGCTGCTAGCTCCGATTCGGATTTCGGGCGCAATGGGTCAATCGGCAGTTTCGATTCATCCTTGAGGATTATTTCGCAATCCCAGGGCTGATGCTTAGGTAATTCAAGCTCAGGTTCTAAGTCCTCGAATAGTGCTTTGTACTTCCGATACTGTACAGGGACTTCAGGAGTTGTGCTGGTCTCCTTAACTCTCTTCTCGTGACCTGGTACCCAACCAGTGTCTAAGGAGTCGACCGCTCTCTCTGGGCGTATCTTAGGCGATGGCGTTGTTGCGTTAACGCTCCTCTCATCTACCACTCGCGGCGCGCGGTGCGTAGGCTTTGAACTGCGTGCACATTTGCAGTTCGCAAACGAAAGTGTCCCTTTGGACCAATCCGTCACTGGATTATGCTTTCGTAACCAGGGGAGTCCTAGTACGACGTCGAAGGTGGCCATCTTCAAAACGTCTAGGATGATCTCTTCCCGGTGTCCACCAATTTCCATAAACGTTGGGTTAGTTTCCTTATCGACCCAAGTTTCATTGGGTAAGCGCTCCCCGGTGACTGCTCGAATACCGTACTGCTCATGTTTTCCTCGAGTAGAAAGTCCCGCTTTCTTAACCACGTGGCTTGACACGAGATTGACTGAAGAACCGGTATCGAGTAGTGCTCTGAAATGGTGTCCGTTAAGCTCAACCGATAGCCTAACTAGTTTCTCTGAGTTCGTTGAACATACGGTTCTGTATGTATTCCTGGTGCTAGGCGTGTCCCTAAAAAAGAATGAACTGGTTTGAATCCGTTGGCGCATTTAGCGTCATAGTGGCGTTCGCAATCATCGCATAAGCAGGTTTGCCATGTGTTATCTCCGATGCATTGTCGGTTTATTGCGATCTGCATATCCACTGTTTGCTTTGGTGTCTTGCCTGGAAAGTTTGAACTAAGTCTCTTATCGAACAGGTGGATGGGACAGAAGTCGTTGTGACACTTCGTCCAATTGTATCCACAGATTTTGTGCAGATTGTTTTTTGGATAATAGGAAGCACCTTTGTCTGACTGGTGTGTCCAGCAAAGGTCGTACATGCAAGCACTGAAATGTAGTCGTC